GCTCCCAAATGCTGTTTCAAAAAGTCGCCATTTTGTTCCATGTGGCGCGCTGTAACCGGAGATGTTGCTAAAAAAGAGAGTTTAAAGAGGTCGGCACATGCCGGCAAAGTAGTCACAGCACCCGCAATCTGAAATAATACGCCAACATCCTAAGCAAGGATGGTTACGCGGGCATTAATCCGCCATCCGTGCAGCCCAGACCATGGAAGTCGAACTTCTGATGAGTGGTTCTGAAATGGGGTGCAGATTTCTTAGATGCACATTATAAAGGCTACATTTCTGAAGTTCAAGAACTTTGAAAAAGTATGGAATTTTATATCAGATATAACATTTTTAGACCTAGTGGCTTCAGGCATAGCAGTTTCAGACATAGCAATTTCAGGCATACCCCCTGTTATAATCTTGTCATCGTACCTTGCACAATATTGAGTGAAGGGCAATATACAACCGTCATATCTGGAAATCGCACTTACCAGAGACAGATATGAACGCCTTGACAATCAGATTGGTCTTAGCCTTTATCGCTCCATGGCTCATGAAGTGACAGGATTTTAATGGCGTTATCATGGCGTCATGGACGCCATGATAACGCCATATGGACGCGACTGAAATACTCTTCGCCATATGCCCTTCCCCATTTCCGCGGGTGCACAGCTCAAAAACTAGAGAAGTTTAGGTCTTAAGAAGGACAGGATTGTGAACAGCACCGAAAGGTCCGCAAGATGGCTATTTCAGTTCAAAACCCCACAAAAATGTGGAACACTCCCTTTCAACAATACAGCAATGCTGAACATAACAAATGTAGTTTATCACGTAAAGCACAGTGAGCAGTCTGACGGCAAAGCCTTAGCGAGTGATTTCTTGTGGATGGATAAGCCCTCCAGGAGGTCTTTCTCCAAATCACGCATTACTTCAAGATGTCGTGAAATAGTGTGTAGGGTCTGTCACTTGTCATGTAGGGTCGAAACAGTGCCGCTGACCAAACCTGTTCCCGCCTTTCTCCGCACATGCGACGCATAGGCATGAACCAAAGCGGCACACGCATCACTCCTAAGCCCGCTGCGCCAGTCACTCACGCGCTGACACCTGCGTGCTAGCCGCCAGAACTTTGGGCACAGCCAGCAAATGAAATTTGTGTGCAAATGAACAGCTCGAGACGAGCACAATCCCAGTTTTAATATTAATGGTGTTGATGACGCATTGCAATTCTCTCCATGTTCCATGGTTTATCGCGTTTAAAGATAGCCTCCAACGGTTACAAATGGAGTTGGTGGCCGGTGACAGTTTAGGCTGTTTTCTTCATGCTTCTGTTCCATGGTTTATCGCGTTTAAAGATAGCTTCCAACGGTTGCAAATGGAGTTGGCGGCCGGTGACAGTTTAGGCTGTTCGAAACTTCTTCGTTGACAGAAAGGTACCTTCATCACTCCTAGATGGTTGGCCGGCTCGTTGTATGCTGCCGCTACGCTGACTTCTGTCACTCTCCACGGCGGCGCCGGCGCCATCACAGTCCGGTCCCAAGATCGCCTTCCATTCTAACGGGTACGGGGCATCGTGGAGGCATTGGCACGTCGCCAGGCTGGCACCAGTGCTGCCACCTATGCACCATCACGACATGTGGCGGCGTTGGCCGAATCGTGGAGGATTTCGCGAAAGTGACGCTTGCTTGAAAGGCGTGTTCCACATGTGCATTGGGTTTAACTGAAAAAGTCATCTTGAACACCATTCGATGCAGCTCAAAGCCCGTCCCCTCTGCGGACATAAACCCCTCTAGTCTCTGAGCCACACAGCCACGAAGATGTGTGGTTTTTTCTGCATACCAATTCAAGGTCCCCCAGTCACCGATGACGACATGAAAACGGCACTCAAATTCCGTCATTGACTTGGCAATGCGGCGATCCAGGCCAAACAAAATGTAACTGTCGACTCGCTCATATCTGGCGTTTGTGAGCACGACTTCCAGATGCAATGGCCGTCAACTGGCTTTCCATCAATGTTGTGAAGGCTCGATGATGCAATCAGACAATGACAGAGTGAGGTGACGGTATTTACGATGACGACTCATAAGGTGATGAACATGCAACAAATAGAGAAATTGTGCGGTCTGGAGCAGTCTTTTCCACTTGAAAGTATACCAACGGTGATAAGTTACGGCCGAGTGTAACGGCCGTCATCTGGCTCTCAGTCAATGTTGCGCAAGGTTTGATGATATAATCAAACAATGACTTATCGAGGTGACGATATTTACGATGGCGACTCACGAGATGATGCAGATTTACTTAATAAAGAAGTGGTGCTGTCTGGATCAGTCTTTTTCACTTCAAAGTATACCAATAGTTATAAGTGAGCTTATTTCATCATACCTTATGCACGCTTCAATGCCCTCAAACGTTGAACTCCCTCAGTAGGTACCAGGACATGTGAAAATGGTATCAGGAAAAGCGATAAGGGGAGCCAATGCGGCCATCGGATGGCGGTCAAGACAGAACCCTCACATCTTTTTAGCGCCAATGCCTCTTGCAGCATTAGTACTGCTTTTATCGCTTTCATCAATTATCATTGACTGTCATCATATTTTCATCTTATCGCTTTTCAGTCAATTTTACATCAGCAACATTTGGTGCTCTATACACTATCAGGTAAGAGAATGTGAAGTAGTGGGCGAGCCAGTGCCTAGGCTACGTGCCCGTGGCAAAAACCAACCTAGTCTTGTGCATGTCAGTCAGCTGATCAGTGCAAGTTCCTCGACGGATGGATGTGAAATACGGCCTCTTGGGACAGGACGTCTGACGGTGGGTTTTCAGTGCCGGTGGTTTGGAGGGCGGGGTGGGGATGGAGTGCTATGCCCCGTTTGGAAAAACGATGATGCAAAACGAGTTCAACAGATGACGCAGTTTCGATAGCTGTAGGCTGACTCGGGGAACTACAGAAGTCCCATTCCGAGCGTCTGCATGACGTAACTTTCAGCAAGCAAACCATTCGACTTCAAATAGCATGCCTGAGAGATACTAACCCCTTATTTGATACCTTTAACATCTCTAGACCGTCAGTTATATATTTACGGGGACATGTTTGACACCAGCTGGTAGATTGCTCACTTTCCCGCATAGTTGGTTCGTTGTTTGGATTAGAGCTCTTTTGACCAGAAACGATCATATCAGAGCTATGGGATTAAGAAAATGGTAAGCGTTAGGGCAGGCGTGCATACGCCTGGGGGGACAATCGCTGAGCTTAAACCCACGCATGTGCGCTGGGCACCCGGTCGGGGTCCCCTTCCCACGGGACTCTCGACTCACCCGTGGCTGCCGCACACAGCCTGTCCCGGAAAAGCGGGACTTCGTGAGGATGCAGGACGAAACTGGATAGACGTAATAAGGTCGAATTTCCCGCATGGACTGTACACAATATATCTGCTGGCACTTGCTGGACTTGGACCCTTCTTCATCTCGTATAAAACACGACTTACCAGTCCCAAATGAGCTCAGTGGTGTACGGCTGGAAGGTGGCGCGCCAACTCACAACTCCCGTTTATAGCGTAAGACTGTCTGTGCAAAGTAGAGCTGCAGCACACGCTGAAGGGTTATTTCTCAGTCCTCGTGCAGTGCTATTTCTCGGTTCTCCGTACGTGCCCACGCTGCCATAACTTCAGTTAAGCTCATAATGATGCCTGCGAAGAGGAGATCAGTGGAAAGGCTGGCACGCCCGCCATATCTTCATTGGGTGTGTGTATAAAAGCCAGCCGTGCTTTCCACCAGCAACCAGTCCTCCACCCCGTCCTACAACATCAGGTGAGTATTTGGAGCAGCGTCGCTGGCAGGCCTGGACGGCCTGTACAGTTATGAGTAGCTGAAAGACGAAGGTAGTTGCTCAAGTTTTGTTACCAGCACTGGAAGATGATTTGTTGTCTTTTTCTTGCCTGAGTTCATGCTCGGTTCCTGATGTTTTAAGGCTCCTACAGTAGGGCAAATTAAACATTTTGAGCAGTATGTTTCAAATTTGTGAGGCAAAGTCGACCATTTTTATTACACAGTTGTACACAAAACGTTTTTTAACGCATTTACGGATTACTAGCGCAGGCAAAATATTGGATATTTCATGGTTGTGATAATACAACTAGCGTGCATTCTCAGCTGGGCATAAGGGGACATCTTGCGATCACCGTCTCCTGTGCTTATAGAGTCTGAGCTGTGTTTGCCATGTCATGCCACGCCGATGCAAGAGTTTTTCCTGTTATCACGCTGCGGTAGCCTTTGGTTGTTTCTTAGTCCACCCATGCGGAAAATTGTTGCCATTTTTCCAAACCGTTTCAGCGGCAGACGTTTTTACATTTATGCACTATTCCCAAAAATCAATTTCACGCAATGTGTCAAAATTGGACGCTTTTACTGCTCAGAGGCGCTTTAGCATGAATTTAATGAGCCGTGTCAGGTCGAATTACGGCATATTTAGGCGAGCGTGTCGTCCATCGGTCTCTGTTGATAACCCACCATTGTTCTATTGAGGTGTCTTCTACTAAAGTCTTTTCCTTTTTTGCTGGGTTTGATCACACAGCAGCACAGTAATGTGATACATGATGCATTTGAGGCATGACGATAAATCTAAGATTAACTCGACTAGGTCTACACATGCTGTGGCGACATTGGGCGCCTCCATGTCGACTCAGCCAGGCTAGGTGACAAAGTGAAGGGAATAAGCAAGCTGAGTAGTCGAGGTCATTTAAAGCTTCTGACAGTAGAAATACTGGAAGGTAACACGTGTCACGTAAACACATGGCGGGTTTACACCCGCTCGGGCCCTTCAGACAATTAGACGAATGGGAATGATCGGGTAGATTTAAGTGATACTTAGTTCCAGATTAATAATGAGCTATACGCTGGTAGTTTTACATCACGTGTGCGGCTATGATTTCCAAATTACGTGTGCGTTGACACTAACGATGCTTCAAAGGCATACACAGCTACAAGGACTGACGTCTCGCCTCTGTCCTGCCTCTTAGACCACCATGAAGCGGTTCGTCATCCTGCTGAGCGTCGTCTGCGCCGTCAGCTGCAGCACAGGCTACGGCAGCGGCAGCGGCTTCGGCAGCGGCAGCGGCTTCGGCGGCGGTGGCGGAGGTGGCGGCGGCGGAGGAGGCGGCAGTAGTATTGGTGGTGGTGGTGGCGGCGGCGGCGGCGGCGGCGGTATCGGCAGTGGGGGCGGAGGTGGAGGTGGAGGTGGAGGTGGAGGTGGTACTCTCGAAGGTGCGTGCTGCGGAGGTGGACCCCTGGGAGGAGGAAGCTTTAGTGGTGTACCTATTGGAGGAGGAGGCGGCTTCGTAGGCAAACCCGTTGGAGGAGGAGGAAGCTTCGTAGGTAGACCTATTGGAGGAGGAGGCATAATAGGTGGACCTATTGGGGGAGGAGGCTTCGTAGGCAAGCCTGTTGGAGGAGGAAACTTCGGAGGAGGAGGAAGCTTCGTAGGGAGACCTGTTGGAGGAGGAGGCTTCGTAGGTAAACCTGTTGGAGGAGGACTCGTGGGAAGTGGAAGTCTTGGAGGAGGCAGTTTCGGAGGCGGAAGCCACGGAAGTGGGATCGTCGGTGGAGGCACTGGTCTCGTGGGCGGAGGAGGTCTCCTCGGAGGCGGCCACCGCGGTGGCGTGGGCGGCTCCGGCGGAGGTCTGCTCGGCGGGTCAGGAGGGTTCGGCGGCGGCTCTTCGCTGGGTGGAACGGGAGCCACCAGCCATCAGTTCGGAGGCTTCGGAATACCCGGCACGGCCACGGGATCTGCCGGCGGCAACGTCGTCTCGGGTGAAACGACAGGCCCGGGTGGCGTAACTTCAGTCACCAGCACGAGTGCCAAGGCGGAGGTGAGTTTTCGCTGACCGTGATCCGGGGGCCTGTGAAAAGAATTATTTTTAGGGTCCGAGCATTGGGTTTAAATCTGACAGCCTTTAACGATCAAATGCTCCGAATGTGCAGCACTTCAGCAACAGTTCGATGCAACACGACTTTCATCATAGCCGTCGCATGGAGATTCTTTTATCTTATCAAAGATTCACAGTGTCTAATTCTTTGACGTTTTTACTCAGAGTCTTTTCTGAGGCCATTGCTCACTCAGAGCTTTGCCCTGTTCCACCGTCCGAAGAATAACCTTCACGTCCTCCGTTGGCAGGGCTCCGCCTTCGGCGGCGGCAGCAGCTTCAACGTGGGGAAGGCCAGCAGTGCCAAGGGCAGTGGCATCCTGGGGCAGTTCTCGACCTCCGACACTGGAGCTGTCTCCGTTCAGAGCGGTGGGGGAGGATACTACTAAACTTCTGACGTGGGAACCAGCACAGGAGTGGTGCACGGTGCTACCAGCAAGCAGCAAATCAAGACCTCGGTCAGCGATGTGGAGGGTAGTGTTAAGAAAAGGTGGATCGTTTTGAAACCAAACTGTCCAAACTAATCCTCAAAAGCTATAGCATACGTTTCCTCCAAACATAAGACAAACCATCTGAGAATGTTCTAACCCCTGCCCTTGTGCCATTGCATTGGATTGTGGAGGAATACAAGCTGGATGGCGGCAGCGGTTTTGTTGACACCTGTCGGACTGGTGACGCCTCGTTCTTCGCGGCATCCCAGTGAGACTCTGGCTATTCGAGTGTTGCGGTGCGCAGTCGGGCCGCACATGCCAGTGCCGTCACGAAAATGCTTGCTTGGCGTTTGGAACAAGTTCGGATTATCCGACTTCTAATTACGAAAGCACCGATGCTGTGGTTATGGGTCTTGCTCAGTGGCTGCTAGAGCAGTAGGGCCCCTATAAAGATCACTTCGCACAACCAGGTACTGAAAACGGTTCCACACAAGGGCTATTTATTTTGTCAATTTGTAAATGGTAGTCTTATTTTGTTTGCAAAGCGCGTGCAGATTATCTGAAATTGAGTTAAAAACGAACAGCAGACACAGGATTACCCTGGCTATTGCGCACTTTGCTACAGGGCTTTCTCGGCTCAGTGGTTCGTTAAGCCCATGACACCTACGCAGGCTAACCTGCAGCCGGCGTGTCGATTCCACCTTAGTATAATTACTTTTTGAATTTTTTGTCCTGTCATCCTACCGCGCACGGCACCGAGTACTCAGTACTGAAGTACTGAGGTACATGGTACCGAGTTCAAATCCATCCCACGGCATTCGCACGCGTACCTCTGAGACGGTACGGTTTTTCTGGCAATTCGTTTCTTTTGGGTCTGCCTGCATTGTGTCGGGTGTGTTTCCCAGGTACTCAGCCACCGTCTGAGTGATGTCGGGCCCCGCTCCCAGTTGGGAGCGCACCAGCTCTCCTGACGTCAGCAGCTGGTCACCACAGTAGTAGCTGTACACAACGGCGGCCTCTGGTCACAACTGGGGGGCACTATTCAACGCGACATAACTCTTCATAATCACGGGGGTCTCTATCATAACTAGCCTGTGCAGCATGGCGACAGCTGGTAACAGTTGTAGCAGCTTTCCAGTTATCACCAGAGTGACAGCTGGTCAACACGGCAGCACCATGGTTGTAAATGTTCTAGACGATGAGATGTCAAATATTATGATCATTGCCAAATTCGTTTCTTTAAAAATTCGTCTCATGACGTCAGAGAACCTCGGCTCTGGCTGAGACTGCAGTGCCGGCAGAGGCCCACACGCTCGTGGCTGCTGGGCACAGTGACTGCAGCCAAGGTCAGTATGACCGGATGCAGTGGCGGCATGGTGCATCCGGCCACGATGGGTCTGCATCCGGTTGCAATGGCAACAGCCGCCCAAATTAACATGTGCGTGGATACGGTTGTCGTTGGCAGCGTGATGAATCGACTTCTATCAACGCATAAATAAGGCTAATTATAAATGGCACTCGCTCTAAAACCCTGAACTTGGAGGTGACAAAACTAGTTGATTTTGGGAAAGGGGGAGGCACGACTGCAGGTATGGAATCATTTCTGGGTCTATTCTTTCCATCGGATGTTACATGTGTGATACCACTATTAACCGCGCGTTCGGTTGGGGCATATGGGCAGGTCAACGTGACGTTCCCGAAGATTTGTTCCAGAATAATCTGCGACCGGCGCGGCGTAACCGCGACAAATTGTCTGCCGGTGGAAGTAGCTAAATGGTAGAACTTTCGGCACACAAATTAGATGTGCCCTGAAATGTAACTTACGGCGGGTCCAAGTCGGACCATGGCTGTCAGCGTAGGCAACTCCTGGGGAATCGTTCGATATGATTTGGCAACAGAGCTTTACATGAAGCCACACATATTTTAGACTTTTTGCAGACAATTAGCCCATTAAATGCAAGCTTGCGTTTTATTTCATTGACTCTGGGTCAGGTATGAAGTTCAGAGTGAGGTCAAAACAGAACTGCTCTTTCACTGAAGAACCTGCTATATGGGGTAGTTTAGATGTTCATTTTATATTTTTACATCAATGGGACATCAAAAGACATCCTTTTTTTAATCACTGTGTGTCAGAGATTACTAAACTTCAATGACTAGTTTAACCTCTTGCTTTTAGAAACATATCGTCTGACGCAATCGTTGCTCATCTCAACTAAAAAATCAAAGCAGCCGTGTACATTATCGGTCACCGTGACTTCTAACGATATTGTATAATATGAACAATGTTTGGTGGGCAATACTGCACAAGAAAACAACTTTAAAGCAGCGCTGTTATTGTCACAAACTGTGTTTCCACTTGCATTATGACATTTCTGACTTCCACACCTTTTTTAGCAACGTCCTTTTCACCACAAATGCGCCATAGGTGCCGCGTGCAGCTGCACAGCACCGGCACGTTTCCAGCGATAGTTTTCGTTGCATAAGTGCAGAGCGCCCGCCCTCCATGGATAAGATGCCATGTTATGTTCGTACAAAAAATCGATCCAAATGCTATCAGCACACTGCTCTCAAGCGCGAGCTGTTGGCAAGAAAACATTTTCGCTGGCGTGTGTGGGTGGGGTGCGGATAGCGGTGACTGGTGAGTGATGGAAACTTCCCCGCTCCCATCTGGCGTGGTAAAATGGGCTTTGTTTCAGTGGGTTGTCCGGGCGGACCCCAGCGGTGGGAGTGCCCAGTCAACAAATTGGATCGGAGGCGTGGAAACCTGAACCGCTGTTAAGACTGGTCTTCGTGCTTCGTTATGGGAACGACACGGTTGTGTCGTCCGCGGCTGGCTCTGTGAGTGGACGCCGGGCACACCTCCATCAGTAATGCTCATCTGAGACGTGTCACCCGGCTATGCAGATGGCAAAACTGACGGAAACTTCCAGTATTGGTGACACTAGTGGCATCTACCTCCTTGCGTCGGTGTTCTCAGGACAGGGCAGCAAACTTGTGCATTGCGGACCACGTTTTGCGGAGCGGCTACGCATCTTGCCGTGTTTTGGAAGTTTTTGGTTCGAGAAGCTCTAAATCGCTACTATAAAAAGCCACCGTTGGTGGCGCTGCCGCGCCGTTCGGAGGCGGCAGATCTCATCGGTGGTTTTGTGCTGGTGTTTCCACCGCGCACGGCACGTGATGGTCAGCATGACCACCTGTGCTGGACTCGGCGCTCACGTCCTTTGTCCTGTAGATTGTGTGTGTGTGTGTGTGTGTGTGTGTGTGTGTGTGTGTGTGTGTGTGTGTGTGTGTGTGTGTGTGTGTGTGTGTGTGTGTGTGTGTGTGTGAGTGTGTGTGTGTGTGTGTGTGTGTGTGTGTGTGTGTGTGTGTGTGTGTGTGTGTGTGTGTGTGTGTGTGTGTGTGTGTGTGTGTGTGTGTGTGTGTGTGTGTGTGTGTGTGTGTGTGTGTGTGTGTGTTGTGTGTGTGTGTGTGTGTGTGTGTGTGTGTGTGTGTGTGTGTGTGTGTGTGTGTGTGTGTGTGTGTGTGTGTGTGTGTGTGTGTGTGTGTGTGTGTGTGTGTGTGTGTGTGTGTGTGTGTGTTCGAGCGCTTATGATAAGCTGCTCGAAGCGTGTGCAAACTTCACCGCGCATTTTTAACGTGACTCAGTGTTTCTCTGTTCGAAAAGTAGATGGGATGCGTTTCTGTGCTAATATTTAATAGCATACGACTCACCGGAGTAGAAAAGTGTTTTTTTTTTTTGCTCGCTGCCTCCTCAAAACTTACGTTCGCGGCACACTACTTTCCTCCATGTTTTCCTCCCATGCGTTTTACATACTGCGCTAGAACGAACAGCTTATATGCGTGGACTCCACTACACACAAAATTCATAGATGCTGGGATTTTACATCCGTGGGCGAAACCACCCACTTACACAGCGCTTATTATGAAGAATGGAGCAACATGCTTGACGGACTAGGTATATCATTAAATCTGTCCGCTATAAGATTTGCTGGGTTGTTTCGTTGTTGAAGACTGTGCACTCATCGACCGTGGGTTTGGTACGCCGGACGGCTCCCAAGAGATCATACATCAGTACATTTATGCAATTGTTCTGACCGCCACTTTGACCCACCTTCCTGGAGCTATAAAGAAGCCATCAAAGGGAGTGTGGAAAGAAAATGGCGAATTCCAAAGCTGTAACTGTTTCTCACGGCAAATATCATCGTTTTCAGTAAAATAATGAGCCCGGTCTCATGCATCATTTCACACTGGGTGGACACAACTGAAACAATCATCATTAAAAAAAACACGTCGCAGGCGCGTGAGAATTTCGTGCATGACGTATGACAACATCGCATCTTCCGGATTTCAACAGCTTGTCTATCTAGAACTGTGTATTGTTAATATGTATTCACCCACACACTCATACCCACTCGTCATACTTTTAGTTAGGGGAAGGTGTATGCTCGCTGAGGCCACTACGTGCGCACTGCTCGACTTTTGATGGTATTTTGGTCACGATTCAAACAAAAGGTGGCTACGTTTGCATGACAACATCCCAAAAGACTCCTCGTAATCGTCCGATTCACACCGCGACCGCATTCTCACCTCCTCAGCTTTCTACGATGGAGCTCAAGGCTGAGATTCGCAGTCATGGCTGTAAGAAGAAGGGTATCCGAGAGTCTTGTGATATATTTCAATGGGCCAAACACCCGACGAAGTTTTATGTTGAAGGCTTCCCGGTGTCACGTTAATGTAATAGAAGCAAGTGTTTACCCAGAAAATTATAAATCAGGTGTTTTCCACATTTAAGGCAAATTCATTTGCGAGTATGCTTCGGTTATGGATCATCTTCAGCTACACCACAACAGCAGCTGATATGACACTAGGTGAACAACATACAGATCGATCATGGTGTAACTAATGGACAATGCCGTGAGCATGGGTGGCATTAGCCGCCGCAATAAAGCATATCTGTT